GCTTAGAGCAACCGCATGCCCTTCACCATTTTGATCCCGATGGTTCAGTCTTAAAATTCTTCCCTCACCCTAGAAGGTTTTCTCCTACCTGTTTGCTGTCAATCCTGCTCCAACATTCAGCCACAGGCACCCACTGATCTGTGTCAAGAAGTGGATATTTTCATGGTTCTGCAGAGTTAGGACTTTCAGAGAAAACATTACTGGCACCTGGGTGAAAGGACAAGCCTTGGAAGTTAAAGGCTATTAGGTAGACCTTGAACCATCTGCTCTCATTCAAAGGGTCATGAAACTTACCTCTTCCACAGCCAAATGCTTTGCATTCTGTGGCACAGACTTCCCCCTCTCTTCTTGAGAGAATTCATTTACATTCCAAAGGATTGTGAAAGCCAGCAGAGCAGAGGTTTCTCTTTTTTTCTCAGGAGGGTAGGGGGAAGGTATCCTGCTCCTATATAAAACCACAATTCCTAATCTCTGGGTTCCTTTCTTGTGATACAATTCCTGGACATGGAGTCCTAACCATGGGCTGTTATGAGATCACCTCTGGGAAACTGATGATGTCATCAATAATAAACAATAATAATGACTCTGATCTCTAACCCAGCAAGGTCAGGGTTTCTTTCAGGATAACTATGAAGAAATATAAATAGTAAAAATGTATCGGTTTTGCTGAGAAGGATGGGATCCTTTTTGAAACCTGGTTTGCTGGAAGAGACACAGGAGAACCTCATAGGCTGACTAACAGGATTTGAAAGATGTCAACAGAAACTAGAAGCTGTCATGTTGAAAGGATGGCTGAGGACCAGGAGGTAGGATTGGAACAAGCACCGAAATAGTGCTTTTGGTTTTTGTTTTCTCTTCCAGGCAAGGGAAGAAAAGGCTCAGGAATTTTCCAAATTGGGCTGTGGGTAGGTAGACAAGGTTAGAAGTCTCAGTTGCTTTCTCCTCCAGGCTAGATGAGAAAGCACAGGAATTCCTAAAGATGGGCTTTGGGTAGACCCAAAGCAGTAGAAAATACTTTGTTTATTGCTGTCTCCTGCAGACAGGAGATGAAAGCACTAATTAGTTACCAAAAGTGCAGTAAGGCTTTGGGCATTGCAGCTGCTAAGCTGCTCAAACCTGAAGGGAAATGTATCTCACTTTATTCCTGTGGAAACACTTTTCTTCTTCCTCCCCCCAACTCCCCTTCTACCGTGATCTCTGCTGCTAAAGGTTTAAGTGTGGGGCTTAGGACGTCCTGTCACCAGTGGGGATGAGGGTAGCTCTACACACTCATCTCTTTATGGGAAATTTAAAAGGGGAGGAATCTGTTGGATTCCATAATCTGTTGGACACCGGTGTCTTTGTGCCTAGTTCTGTGGCAGGAAGTGGTGTGGGACTCAGGAATGGATAATGAAGGTACTAAAAATGTAAAATGTGGAGCCATAGAAGACAGAAAGAAATAGCCCAACCATAGCCCGGATGCTAGGAAGTACACAGGCATGGAGTCAAAGAAAAAAAATAGGGGAAAAACCTCTCCACTTATCCGCTTACCTAGTCTGACTGTCACTGCAGCCGCTTCTCCCAGCTGGGAAATAATAGCTTATCTTAGCAGCTGTCACTGTAATCTTTGAAAGGCTAAGTTAACTCTTAGGTCTTTGAGCAAAACCTGAAGACAAGAAAGACAAATTTAATAAAAAGACTGTATATTTTATTTTTACATGTACATGGGCACCTTCACTAGAAAATGAAGACACAAAGAAGTAGCTAGAGGTGAACGCTATGTACTAGGTTAGACGAAGGGTAGCAAATTGTGACAACATGACAAAACAAAGGGGTTTGGGGTAGGGTAGTTAACTGGAAAAGTGACTAGAGAGATGAGGATCAGTTTAACAAGTTTGTACAGATTTCTCTCAGTACCCTTCTCTGGTGACAAGCATGTCTTCTTTCCTCTTGTATAGGGAGACACTTTTCATGGGAGTTTTATCTCCTCCTTCCAGAAAAAAAGAAAGTTCAGAGGTCCCTTTTTGCATCTGATATTTTTAACTTATCTTTAACTCACTCAAAGTAACCAATATGCCAAGGCGGCATATTTTGGGGTGATAGACTCTGAACCCTTATATTTTGTTGCTAAATTAAGTGTGACTGCAAAGTAGAGATAATGTGGATGCTATATGCTTGTAATTCCCTATGTCCCAGGTGCTAGAGGGCATTGATACGCCAATCACAAAAAGCTACAAATAGGGAAATGTTAGTGGGACATGTAGAATGCATCTCCATGACTGATGAATTATGCTATCATTTTTTTTTTTTTTTTTTTTTTTTTTCTGAAAAAGAGCCTCTGGAAGGTCTGGTGATGGTGACATGAGAAAATACAGTTTCAGATGCTACATAAAAATCAAGGCTTTGTTTTTGTTAACCTTAGTTATAAAATTTTTTTTTCTCATAGTTGTTTATGATTTAGAAGTTCAGTTGAAAGTATCCACCAGGCATTCACAACTCTCAAGGCTGAAGGAATATTAATTCTTTAAAGTATGGTTTCCAGAGAGATTAATATGTCCTCTCGAAAATTGTTTTTGGATTTTTATTCTGAAAGACAAATTTTATTTGATTCATAAGATGCTCCTCACTTAAAATTTTCAGCTAGAGAATTTCTGCAAAGAGTGACTATGAGGCATTTCTCATGAGCCTATGTTGTTTTCTTACTCCTTTGTGGTTGTTGGGATTAATTTTACATAAAATTGCATAAGCTAATAAACCAAGAATATAAGATTGTAGAAAAATTTGAGAGAAAGGAAGTTTCTGTCAAGTCATAGATATGAAATGGAAGGTTAAGTAATGTGACTGCCTAACTCACAAGGACATTTTGGAGTCCTGGGTTTAATAATGCCATAGCTAGCCAATAAGTCAACAGACTTCATAGAGATACTACAACCAGCTTAGGGAAAAGCCTATCTTCCAAGAATTCTGCTCTGCCAGATTGGAGAGGTTTGTAATAGAACACCCAAGGATACAAGCAATAGTCCATGTGGCTTCATAATTCTATGAAGACATAGAGGTTTATTTGCTACTTGTGTTTTTTTTCCTTCTATCACTTGCTATAAAAAATTATTCCCAGTTTAAGCCCCCACCTCTCCTTTCTGGAAACTCTCATTTCAGCTAGTGCATTCTGTGATATTCAATGTAGTGTTAGAATAATGGTATTCTGCCCTGTTAGGTAATAAAGATTATATAGATAAAATTGGCTCTCAATTTTGTGTGACTTTTGCTTGGCTTTTGCTATAACACTCTTTTTACAACATACATTATCAGAGTTACTTTTTTTATAGTGCTAGAAATGTCTGTATTTCACATTATTGCTATTATTATGAGGGAAAGTATTAGGGATGATGAGTTCTATTTTCAAAAGTGAAATCCCTATATAAGAAGTGGAAAGCAAACAAAAAAATGGAAAATGGAAACTGAAGCAAATATAGCTGAAAATATGGATATATGTGATTATTCATTCAAAATTATATATTGAATGCTGACTTTGAGGCAGGTGTTGCTTTATATATTGGTGATACGGATGTAAACAGAGCAGACATAAACCACTTTTAAGAAGCTTATACTCTAGAGGGAAGAGTCAGAGAATAAAGAAAATATGTAAGTAAAACATGAAAGATATTAAAGGGTGAGAAGTGCCGCAGAGAGAGATCAATTAGGGAAGAAGCGTGGGGGAGATGAGGAGGTTTGATTATTCAGTTCGTGTATTTCTCCCAGGAGGGTGTACAAGACCTGAAGGCTGGAACTTCGTCTGATGATACTTGCCACCAGACCCTCGCAGATATCATTGCATATGGCACTTCACAAATGTTGAATGAACAGGTGGATAAAGTTGGCGTTGAATGAATCCTCCCCTTTTCCTGATCCACTTTTTCCTTTTCGTATTACTTTATATAATACCTATATACAGTGGTCCCAAGACCTCCAGGAGATGCCTGAAACTGCGGGTAATACCTAACCCCATATATATACTACGTTTTTTCCTATACATACATACCTGTGATACGGCTTAATCTATAAATTAAGCACATTAAGAGATTAACAGCAATAACTAATAAAAAATAATAATTATAACAACATGCTGTAATAAAAGTTGCACGAATGTGGTCTCTCTCTTTCTCAAATATCTTATTGTACTGAACTCAGCCTTCTTGTGATGATGTGAGATGAAAAAAAATCCCAAAATGTTGAAATGAAGCGAGGTGAATGACATAGGCATAGGGACGGCTACTATTGACCTTAGATACAGAAGAAGGAGGGTCATCTACTTCGGGGCTACAGTGGACTTAGAGTAACTGAAACCACGGAGATCAAAACTGTGCCTCAGGTGAGGGACTATGTATATCATTTGCTTATTACTTATGTTCATTATTTATTGTCTGCCTAACTTGGCAAGAGCACAAAGGTAAACATTTTTAATCCTTTTGTTCATTGATCCATCCCAAGCACCTAGAATTTTACCTGACAGATAGTAGGATTTAATAAATATTTGTTGAATGAATGTATAAATTTTGAGAAGTCATTTTCCCTAAGAGGGAACAATGGATTTATTAGCTTATGACATAAGAATTTTGTGTGCTGCTTTTGGCAAGCCAGCTTCTTTCTTTTTTTTTTTTTTTTTAAGATTTTATTTATTTATTTGACAGACAGAGATCACAAGTAGGCAGAGAGGCAGGCAGAGAGAGGAGGAAGCAGGTTCCCCGCTGAGCAGAGAGCCCGATGCGGGGCTCGATCCCAGGACCCTGGGACCATGGGACCATGACCTGAGGCGAAGGCAGAGGCTTTAACCCACTGAGCCACCCCGGTGCCCCAAGCCAGCTTATTTCTACCAGCATATTCTGATGGCTACTGACAAATTCACAATTTGGGTGCTCAAGAATCCTATGAATAAAATACTTAAGAAGCTAATCCTGATGCCAAATTCATGGACCTTGGAGTAGCAAATGCTAAAGTGTATTTACTGTATACTTATTCAACTGTCAGTGGCACAGTGTTTTCTCTATCCTTAAGATTTTCAAAAACGGCCCAGTCAAGCAAACTAACAGTCACTCAATTTTTTGAAAAGTGAGGTTAGAGTATGTAATTCCAGATGAAACAACTCCTTTAGTAGACTTGACAGACCTGGGGTGGTTGTTTTCACTGGAAAGGCACCAAAAGTGTTTGCTGCCTTGGTATTTGTTGCTTTGTTGCTTTTTTATTTGAATTAACTGTTTTATATCCTTTCTCACCCAAGACACATAGCTATATCCACAAACTGCTTTCTGACAAAACTAGTGGAAAACTCATTTTTCAGTCCAGGACTTTCTTTCAGTCTCCTAGTAAAAGGATCAGAGGTTTTAAAGAATTGCTGTTTATACATGAAAGAGCCACAGACAGCTCTGGAAATGTAGCCTGAAAATCACAGTTCAGGAAAATGACACCCGAGACTAAATGCCCAGTATTAACACAGTTTTAATGATTGGGACGTGAAAGTCAACTGTATAGTATTTTCCTTCCTGGCCATCTTGAAATACCTAGAGATTTGCTGACAGTATTTTGAAAATATTTTTGTTCAATATTTTTACATGATTATTATATTAGACTTTAGTTTCTTAAGGGCAAGACAGACTTTTTAAAAAAAGATTTTATTTATTTATTTGTGAGAGAGAGAGAGAGAGAGAGCCCAGCACCTGAGTAGGGGGGAGGGGCAGAAGCATGCTGAGTCCCTGCTGAGCAGGGAACCCAGGATCATGACCTGAGCCAAAGGCAGCTGCTTAACCAACTGAGCCACCCAGGCACCCTGCAAGACAGACTTCTCTTAAATCACAGTCTACCTAGCATCATGTGCAGGTGGCAGGTATTCTTACAAATAGCTAATAACATCTGTGAAGCCATTTCCAGATAGAAGACTGTGAGCTAATTTATTCTCATTGAAAAAAGATATGGAAGGGGATGCCTGGGTGGCTCAGTGGGTTAAGCATCTGCCTTTGGCTCAAGTCATGATCTCAGGGTTCTGGGATTGAGTTCCACACTGGGCTCCTTGCTCAGTGCGGAGTCTGCTTCTCCCTCTGTCTGCAGCTCCCCATGCTTGTGTGCTCTCTCTCTCTCACAAATAAATAAATAAAATCTTAAAAAAAAAAAGTCGTGGTCATTAATAGAGAGCTTAAAATCACATCCCACCATATCTACTTTATGTAAGAGGAGGATCATTATAAATGTTATAGATTAACAAAAATAATATTTTTGTTTCTGAAATAGCCAAGTGGAGACACCTCTTATTTGCAAAATCTGTGTTATTTACTATGGTTGTTAGAAAATCATGGCTTTAATTGTGTATTTGTAAAGATTTTTCTTGTTAAGATGAATAATTTTATCTAGAAATTGGATCAGGAAAACCACACTAAATTTGTTAGTGCTGTGAAATAAGTCATTTTAATAATAAAGACACATAAATAAAATGTTTATGATAGAAACAATAAAGGTGTCTCTCAACCCCATACAACACTGAATTTCCAAGTAATTTGTAAGGAATATATCCATCTTTTTACATTCAAAATAATGGTTGAACAATGATGATTATCATTTTTTCTGACAAATTTTCTTTTTCTATTCTATGAATTCACACAGTATTACAGTAATTTATAGTATTACAGTGCTTGGTAATCTTAAAGACATGAAATAAACTTCTAACAGTATATAGAAAATAAAAATAAAATAAAAGTCATTTGTATAACTTTATGAAAACAATATTTTTTTCTGTAAAATAAATTATGTACTTTATGTTGAAATGTCATTCTGTTTAAGTGTTTAGAAAATAGTTACATTCACGTTTTGGCAGTGTGCTCAAACATTCTTATTTGCCATTCCCTCATGCGTGATAAAATGAGGTGCAAGCTGTTTACACGGGAGGAAACAACTTATTTTCACAGGAAAGGAAATGATACATGAAATGGAATTAATTTAGAAAAACCAAGTATCATAAGATAGAGATACAATAATTCACTAAGAAAAAATATTTTTCAAGGCCTTTTGAGGCGAGGCAACCTCAAAACTACACAAAAGTAGTTTTCATCACGCTACCCTGTAACTTCCATCAAATTAACATACTCATTGATTGCAGTTGAAAGCAAGTGTTTGGTCCCTTGACTGAAGCACAACAGCTGAAATCCTTAATGAGCACTTTCATAAAGGAGCAAAAGGAATAAACGTCTCTATCCTCCTCCAAGTGTGGCTTGCAATGGTAGCACCTTTGGCACCGAATAGACCTGTTTTCCTTGTGACCATGACATGAAAATAAGTCTGGTGCTAATGGCAGTGATATTATTGAGCCAGATTTGCTGGTTTACCTAGAAAACAGCTAAAAGACTAAGACTGACTTAAGTTTAACCAATTTTGGAAAAAATGTGTACTTATCCACGATAATGGCAAACACCTGAATGGCAATTTGGAAATGAACCTGCTTTCTGCTGTTTCTTCTTTGTCTTGTTTTTCTTCTGCTTTTTCTCAGCCTTCTTTTTGCTTGGTTTCTTTTTCTTGTATTCCTCTTTATACCACGGTCCCCAGACTCCTCCATTGAGCCGAGGGTTACTTCTGGGGTCTTTTGGGGGGTACCTGACGGGCACTGCGGTTTTGTTGAACTGTGACAGCCTCCGTAGGAGCTGCTTCACGATTCCGGGATACCTGTGAGACAGGTCCACTCTCTCATATGGGTCAGCTGTGATGTTGAAGAGCCATACGCTTTTGCCAGTCGACAAGGTAATTCGTTCGTTATGCCACCGGTTGGGCCCCAGGTTGCTGAAAGACTGAGGGGGAACCCAGTCACTGTAGCCAGGGTTTCCTGTAAGCAGTTTCCAGTGCTGCACCCTGATGGCCGACTGGATGGCGGTGTTCCAGATCCCGTAGCCTGCTGCCCAGGAGCCATTTTTCGCCTTGGTATAAATGGGGTCAATGTTATGCAAAATATCGACCCGGGGCGAACGAAGGCCTTCACTTATGGTTTCCCAGACATCATAGCCATCCAGTTGAATGTCCTCATCAATTTGTCCTTCAGCCAGTGAAATCAGAGTGGGGTACCAGTCAGTGATGTGCACAAGCTCCTTACACACTGTTCCCTTGTTTTTCAGAAGTGGACTATGCACAAAGCCGACAGCCCGAATGCCCCCTTCCCAGTATGTTCCTTTGCTACCTCTGAGAGGCCAGTTACTTCCTCCTGCTGTGGGCTGACCGCCATTATCTGAAGAGTAGATGATAATGCTGTTGTTATAGAAACCATATGTCTTCAGAGCCAGGGTCACATTGTTGATTGCTTCATCTAAGCAGGAAAGCATGGCAGCATACCTCCGCCTATTTATGTTGATAATGGATCTATAGTGTTCAAAATACCTGCCAGGGGCTTGCAGCGGTGAGTGAACAGCTTGGTAGGCAATATATAAAAATATAGGCTTTCTGGGGTCATGGGAAGCTAAGATTTGCTGAACTCTTTGAGTGTACATCTGTGTGGAGTAGATGCCATTGTCATAGTCCCAGGCAGCATTGTCATTTTCATACAAGTCATAGCCACACATTCCAGGACTGTCACATTTGTAGTGTGTGTAGTAATCACCACTTCCCAAGAGGGAACCAAAAAAGGTATCAAATCCTCTCTTGGTGGGCATACATTCTTTTCTATAAAAACCCAAGTGCCATTTTCCAACCATATGTGTTGAATAGCCAACCTCCTTCAGCTTCTGAGGTAGGGTTGCATTGTCCAGAGGTAAACAGTTGGGTTGGGTAGGTCTTATGATAGAATGTTGAAGTCCGGTGTGTATCTGATACCTTGACAAGAGTAAAAATTTTGTCAGTGCAGGATAAAAGAGATATTACAATGATTCTTAAACAATGTTTCTATGAAGAGAAACTTTACCTCAAGTAAAATATGACCAGTTCAGCATTTCTATGGTTGACTCAGAATTCTTATCCTAATTAGCTTCATATTTAACATTTGAAATACATTTGACTCTAAATCAGTACTTTTGAAACTAAGATTTCACCACTTATCTCAAAGCACTTTTGTTTTGTTTTGAGAGAGAGTGTGAGTGGGACAGGGGAGGGGCAGAAGGAGAATCTTGAACTTGGAGCATGGAGCTCTACATAGGGCTCAATCTCATGACCCAGATCATGACCTAAGCCAAAATCAAGAGCTGGATGCTTAACCGATTGAGCCACCCAGGCACCCTTATCTCAGTATTTTTAAAGTTCTTCTAATGGAATTAATCTGAATAAACTTTAAACTCTTAATTAATTATATGACATAGAAAGCTAATGTGATGAGGGAAAGGATACAAATGTTAGAGGAGTATTATTAGTTTTTAGTCTGGGGATCTCACATTAGCTCCCGAATCATTTCCTGAGATCTATTTCAAGCTAATTCTGAAGCACTAAAAATACAAGCAAAAGTTATATAAAAGTCTGCTGTTTGATTGTCAAAATATATTTTATAATTAGTCCCCAACCTGTTAGATCTCTGTAAAGAGAAAGGGAATTTTTCTGGTTCACAGTACATTATTCTGAAAAAACATTTTAGGGTAAGGGTTTTAGCTAATGCTAAAGAAGGATTACATTTTCCCCAAAACAGAAGGAAAAGAGTCCTTTCATATTTTTTTCCAGTGTCTCAATTTAAGAAAAAATTAGATTCACTTATAGTCTAAGAAAACAAGACAACACCTTCTATACGTTAAAATTAAGTGAATGTTAGTTTCCAGCATTGTTCTTGTCCCAAGGATATTTTGCCAAGGACTTTTCCTCAGAGAAGGGTTACCATCACATAAGTGTATGAATTTTCATTTGGGTCAAGACGTGCCTATTAGTTCACAACATTTAAAAGCAATTGATTCTATAGTCATTATATAAGTTCAAAAGGACTTTTAAAACAAAATACAGAAATTTTGAGAAAATGAAGATTGCAGAAGGTTTTAAGGTAGATGTGAAGATATTCTTGGAATCAGGTTACAGAGAGTAATATTGAGATCAAAATTAAAAATTTTAAAAACTGATTGAACCTGAAAGGCCATCTTGTCATACATACCTTGGGTGATTAGTGCAATTTATTTAA